GAAGGTGTTCGCTGGCAGGGCCCAACACCAACTCGGCTTGTTCCCTAAGAGCAGGAGGCTCTTTACCTCCGATACCTACCATTGGACGTGATTCAGAGCTCCAGGGGAGCCCTAGTCTTTCCACCAACCAATTGGGGGCCACACAGCGTTGTGAACCCGAATCCAATAGAGCGTGAACCGTTAAACAGTCGCCACTCGGGTTGTACACCTTCACTGAGGCCGTCGGCAATAGAACAGTTTGACAAGTAGACTGTTGACGGCTCAAAGGATCAGTGGAGGCGGCCGATATTATATTTTTTTTAAACTTATCTTTGTTACTATCAATTTTTCTTATATGTATTTTTTTAATGTTCATTAGTTCTACCAAGACCCATTTTATAGTTATACATTAATTATCGGATACCCGATATTCCCATCAAGCAAGTGGTAAATCTATATAAATAAAAATCAATTAAGTACAGCATGTATGACATATCTTCACTTAAGAAAGGCTGGACAGATTTCGATGAACACTCACACTTACACTTGAACTCGGTAAGTGTCATTGTTCTCGAGATTTAGAAAATAGTTGTGCAAAGCCGGGGCGGATCGGTAGTCAGCATAATTCGGATTACAAAAGAGATCCAACTCGCTAAAGTACCGTGTGTCAAAACTTAGTTTAACTAACTTAACTTAACTCCCTTATTATTAGTTTTTAAAATTTGCGAAGCAAATATTTGAAATTTAATATAATAATCATGATCACTTTATCTATTTAAAAAATGCGAACGAAATCACTTTACATAAAAAACGTAATATCTTGTAAAGTGACGTCACACATAGTATTACTACAACAGCAATATATTTTTTTACATCCGAACATACGAGTGTATACTTACTCTCATATTTGTTAGCATAATATAAAGATACCAAAGGTGACCACTATTTCTATTTCCACGATTAAATTATACGCAACATCTTTCAATACACTTGTCTACTTTTGCCTTACTTGAAAATTAAATTACAAAAAGCGAGATAAGTATATTGATTCAATTTATGTTGAATTGTAGGTTCTCTTTATACATACGTATGTATGCATAGAGACTATCAGTATCAACTGAAAAGGGTAATATATTATAGTGCATTAGTGTATATGTGGGAACATACTATCAACGCGTTCTTAAATAAAAATAAGCGTATAATAACCGTGCTCGATGTTAATGCTTATGAGATAAAGCAGATGTTAAGAATGCAGGGTTAGATATAAGCACAATCAAAACACAACCACATACAAAACTCAAAAATAATGTTTTACCCAAATATTTGATCCAGCGCATATTAAAATCTACGTTACATAGCAATAAAGGCATTATTAAAGTAATTAATAATTATTTAATAAGTAGCATTGATAGCACTAGATGCCGGTAAAAAAAGAATAAATAGTTCAGTCGGTTGAATACTAAGCGCGATATGTAATCCTTTATATTATGCACAGACATTGGTGCAATGCCCTGCCGACATCTGTTCCGAGTGTGCATAACCTGAACCTCTTCAAGGTGCGTTTGAACAGGCTTCTCCTGGGCAAACACGCTCCATCGTAGACCAAATTTGACTCGTCCGGTCAGATGGTAGTTAAAAGTGAGCCCATTTCTAATAACAAACTAGTTTGTTACAATCGACCTACAATACATGTCCATGTTACACTTGTTAATTTAATCAGAAATAATACATGTCCATGTTACACTTATTAATTTAATCGGAAATAATACTTGTCCATGTTACATTTGTTAATTTAATCAGAAATTAGAACTTATATTTCTTTAAAAAAATAAAACCAGTTTTTTTTTTACAATCGACATAAAATAGGTACATGTCCATGTAACACTTGTTAATTTAATGAGAAATTAGAACTTAAATTTTTTAAAGAAATAAAACTAGTTTGTTAAAATCGACATAAAATACGTATCCATGTATAACTTGTTAATGAAATAACAAATTAGAACTTTAATTTCCATAGAACTGTTTGATATTTTCTAGGAATGTTCGTGTGGCTTTTCTAGATCAAAACAAAGCGTCTTTGAAGTATACACGTGTACTTTGACACGTCAACCCGTCTTATTAACACATAAAGAAAGCTAAAACAAGTCCGTAGCTGATCTGAAATTAGTAAGTGCAGGCCTTCGGGGAAATAAAAGAAGTCGTCATTCGCCGCGTTGAAGATTTTGAATAAACCTTAAGAGCAATGCTTCTTTTAGGTTTGGTTGCTATTCATACCTCCAAGCGTTATTATTTGGTGCTAAATGGAAGTGTATTTTAGAAAGTACCTAAAATAAATTCATATAAAAATCTCTACTTATATTAAAAATGCTAGAAAAAAATTGAATGAAACTATTTTTAATAGTGTTCTACATTTAATTACATACGAGCTAACATCTAGACATGGAATATTTCTGTTAAAAGTCTACTGCTAAACATAAGCCTCCCTCATATATTTTCCCATGGTGGGATATATGTCATCATAGCCATGCTAGGCAGGCGGTAAGCAGGCTTTTATTTTACCAATAATTCATAAAATTAATTGACCTTAAATATCATCTCCAAATAACGTCATAAAGTAGTCTAAATGGAGTAAAGCACAAATTTTATGATATAAAGCCATATTCTTGTATGTCAAGTTCTTAAAAGCTAAGGTCTCAGTTTTGTTTTTTAATAATTTTATTTCCTACTTTATTCGATTTTTATCTAATTTGATGATTTATGCGTTGATCATTGTTATGGTAAGAGACAATGGTCGAAGTATATTTTAAAATATATTTTTTATATTTTTATAAAACTAGCACCATAATTTTCTATATTCTGAAAGGAATCAGTTCACTGTTTTGCTACCGCAGATTCTTTTTGTCAGGATAAATCCAAAGATAAGTAAGAAAAATCGAACGTTACGTAAAACCCATGAAAGAGTAAATTGTCTTTGACAGCACCAACTGCGCTTGAAAAAGATTTAAGCCGACTTTCCACTATGGGATATAATATAATTTATATTACATCTCGAGTTATAAATTAATATCGCTCACCGTACTTTTCAATAGAACCGTTTCCACTGAGATATAATTTATATTACATCCCAAACTATAAATATTTTTTCGATCGACTGAGCGATATTTTTATATTATATTTCACCTCCTGTACCCCGCACACCCTTTCGCGCCTCCGCTATGTCCTCAGATTTTTCAATGACGAACGCACACTGGTTAAAAGATATATCTCACAGTGTGAAGGGCAATCGTGGGATATAATTTATTTTCCCTATTTATTATCCCATAGTGGAAAGCCAGCTTTAACCTCTCAATATGCACGCGGTCGAATCCAACCACGGCGATATTCCGTCAAATTCCAACGGTCGGATCCGACCACACACACCCACAGCACTTTAACCCGTAAATATTTATATTTAGAGACTACTTTTCTATGAAGAAGTTTGGCATTATAGGCTCAATATAAAATTTTCTATCCTCTAGTTTAAAAAGTTTGTTACTCTATGATTTGACATTTGTATTTGGCTTTCAAATTGCGTCATTTGTGGTCATTTGGATGTGGTTGCTATTGTGCAGTGCTTTCTAGTTTTTTAGGATTTTTCTAAGGTAAGTACAGTGTTTTATTATAAAATTGTTATGGAAGTTTCTGTGTGAATATAATTTATCTTTTTACGTAAAAAAAATTCGAGTAATAGGTATACAGAAATAATAGTAATTTTCACGCTGCCGACATCCGCTTAGACGTTTTTTGTTATCAAAATACAATAAATTATTTTTGTAATGAAGTAAAACTACTAAAACAAGTAATATAACATAATAAATAAACAGAAACAACTATTATATTGAAGTTTACAATGATTTACTGTAAACTTCAATATAATAATTAGTTATAATAGTTAGTAGATTACAATGACTGAACATATAAAATTGCAGTCTCTACAGACGATAATCAGCAAGTCATTTTGAGCTTTATTTTATGTACCTACGTCGTTGAATGTCAATAGTTTATATCGATAAAAAGGTAGTATTTTGTTGGCGTAGTGTAGGGCGACCCCCCACTAGATGGAGCGACGACTTGGTAAGACATGCAGGGAGTCGATGGATACAGGTGGCTCAGGACCGTGTTTTGTGGCATTACTTGAGGAAGGAATGTTCAGCAGTGGACTTGTGAAGGGCTGTAATGATAATGATGATGGTGACATTGTTTAGTGTGAAAATTATTATTATTTATTATTATTATTGTGGTGTAATGTGTTCATGGTCACGGATTGATGTCATATCATGAGGTACCGGAATAAAATTCTACAGATCTGTTGATAATTTTTTTATTACATATTTACATGAATAATCCATTTTATAAGCATTATTTATATTACAAAAGGAGAGAAATAATTTGTTAGCGTGTATTATGATGCAAATACCCGTGTGATACACAGTGTGGTGTTTTTATTTATTTATTCTATATATGTTACAGACGTCAAATTGGAGAGCAAACAATGATCCGCCCATAGACTTCATCTACATGCTTTATGCTGCTGATGATGAAGATCTGTAGGAGGACAGCGAGTTTGAGCCAGATGATGATGAGGTCAGTATCCACATTTATGTGTTTTATAACTTATTATTGTTATTATTGTAAAATATTTTATAAGTGGTAGGGTTATGCTGCAGCTATATTAATGGTATAGTTGTAGCAGGAATGGATTGGCTCATCTGGGGAAGGACCACACTTATTATTAATTATATGTATTACTTTTAAAATATTTCTATATGGGTTTATATAGTCATTAATTATTCATAATGGTCAAATATAAATAATAAAATAGTAAATGTGTAATTTATTAATATCTAGAGACCCGATCATATATATTGCTAAGTATTGATTCGTCTGACTCTGTGATCTATTAGACCCGTTCGATAATGACAATATTAATTATATCAGTCAACTTAAATAATAATCATGATCATAATTTATTTGTGGAAATCATGGTACATTACACTTTGGTAAATTATTTAAAACATACTAAATTTAATATGTATATACATGGCAGCGTTAAAATTTGTAATTTTTAAAATACAGTTTACACGATTAATCTGGTGCCAAACCATTCATAGCTTGAATACATTTCTTTTGGGCTGTAAAGGCCTTAACAGCATCTGTACTGTTACCCCAAAGTAAAAGACCACAATCAAGTGCAGAATAAATGTATGAATAGTAGTAAAGTTTCATGAGATGTAATTCTTCTCAGTCATGTATGCAGTCAATATATAGTCAATATGTTTTTATATAGCCATGCTGCAGCTATATTAGTGGTATAGTTGTAGCACGAATGAGTCGGCTCGACCGGGGAAGGACCACGCTTAAAATATTAAAATTATATTACTTTTAAGTTATTTTTAGACGGGTTTATATAGACGTTAATTATTAATAATTGTCAAATATAAATAATAAAATAGTAAATGTGTCATTCATTCATTTCTATGCACCCGATCATATATATTGATAAGTATTGATAAATATTGATTCGTCTGACTCTGTGATCTGTTAGACCCGCTCGATAATGACAATATTAAATATATCAGTGAACTTAAATGATATGTTTTTATATTCCGCTAATACCTATTTTATGGTTAATGGGTATGTTTGCATAAGACAAAAAATTACACAGTAGGTAAATATTACTAGACAAACGAAATTTTTATAAGTGGTAGGGCCGTGCTGCAGCTATATTAGTAGTACAATTGTAGCATGAATGGGTCGACTCGACCGGGGAAGGACCACAATTAAAATATTGAAATTATTAATTATATATATTCCATTAAAAATATTTTTAGTAGGGTTTATAAAGACATTAATTAATATTAATTGTCAAATATAAATAATAAAATAGTAAATGTGTCATTCATTCATTTCTAGGGACCCGATAAGTATTATATTGAAAAGTATTGATTCGTCTGACTCTGTGATCTGTTAGACCCGCTCGATAATGACAATATTAAGTATATTAGTCAACTTAAATAATATGTATATGTATGTGTATATGCCGCTAATACCTCTGGTATTATGTTTTTCATGCTTGGTTTAACACTGGTATTATGTATGTTTTGATTTGCACTAATCTCACTTTCTTTGTCTGATTTACGCTTGTATTGCGTTTTTTGTGATTTCGGTTCCAATGGTTTAACAAGAACACCATTGCATGTTTAAGAGAAAGATGTGTGGAATAGACTAATATATGCTTTTTGTATGTTTAGGTGGAAGACGCCCGCGCGTCCTCACCTGAGGCTTACTCTCCTCCTACACTACCTTGACGTCGCGAACAGCCCGGTGATGATGTGGAAGCGGTCGGATTCGAGGTGATACATTTTTGTGTTATGTTTGCGTTGATACACTCATAATTTTGTATATTTTGGTGAAGTGGTTTTCATGGATATTTTTGTTTGCACCTATGTTTTAGGAAGAGAATCGTTTCCGTGACACATCACTGGAAGGCCGTGATAGGCCTCCTATTAGAACACACCAGTCATATGAATCGTAAGTTTTATTCATTTATTTTTATTTTTTATTATTACTGGTTACCAGGTTTCTAAAATTATTACGTCACTGGCAACTCCAGAACCGGAAATTCTCACTGTCATCCGTTTGAGTAAACCTGTATCCAAAATTGAAAAGCCGCGTTCTATCAAGTTAGTCCTGGCCAATAAAGATAATGCTATAAATGTTCTGAAAAATAAAGGTAAGCTGCCAAACTGTGTTAAGGTAAAGTCTGATATGACACCATATCAAAGGGATCAACTTAGGAGACTTCGTGAAGAATTAGCGGCTAGAACAGAAAAAGGTGAGCAAAATCTTGCGATCAATAACATACCAAAGATTATAATAACTACAAAAAACTAGCACATCATAATATCACAGAAATCCGCATAGTATACACGAATTTGGCTTCCAATATGGAAAAATTTAATTTATTTCTTCATGAAGTTAATACACATAGACATGCTTTTATTTTGATATTAGAAACTTTTTGGGAACCCTATTACGCAACATCAAGTTATACAACAGGTTCTAAATGCCATCTGCGATTAGACTAGTGATTGGCTCCTAACACTGAACGCAGACAAGTGTACGATTACGATATAGGGAAAAATAATCGCCCATTGTCTTCTGTTGAATCACAAAAAGACCTTGGCATTACAATATCCAGTGACCTCAAATGGGAAACTCATATCCTTCATCATCATCATCATCATTACAGCCCTTTACAAGTCCACTGCTGAACATAGGCCTACCCCAAGGTATACTCATATCCTTAACATAGTAAAAAAGGCAAACTCCATGATGTATATGATTCGAAGAAGCTTTGTGTGTCTCACTCCTAAAATATTTAACAAGATCTACCGAACGTACTTAAGACCTCTTTTGGAGTTTGCATATGTGATATAAGACCCGTATTTTCGTAAAGATATAATAATGCTGGATAATGTTCAAAGGAAAGCCACAAAAATGGTAAAACAATGCGGAACATGACATATGGGCAGCGAATGAGAAAGCTTAACCTCACAACACAAGAGTGCCGCAGGCAGAGAGGTAGTCAGATTGAAAGAAAAAAAATTTAAACTTTGCCATAAGACTGCCTGACTGTCACCAAGTGGAATAAGCTACCACAAAACGTGACTGATGCTCCTACACTGAATGCCTTCAAGAAAAGATTGGATAAAATCTCCAAACATTAAGATGCACACATCATCATCATCATCACAGCCCTTCACAAGTCCACTGCTGAACATAGGCCTCCCCCAAGTAATGCCACAAAGCACGGTCCTGAGCCACCTGCATCCATCGACTTCCTGCATATCTTACCAGGTCGTCACTCCATCTAGTGGGGGTCGCCCTACACTACGCCTACCGGTACGAGGCTGCCACTCGAGAACCTTTCTTCCCCATCGGTTATCGGTTCTTCGAGCTATATGGCCGGCCCATTGCCACTTCAGCTTACTAATCCGTTGGGCTATGTCGGTCAATCTGGTTTTACTGCGGATATCCTCATTTCTGAGTCTATCACGCAGAGAAACTCCGAGCATAGCCCTCTCCATAGCTCGCTGAGCGACCTTGAGCGTCCTCATACGGCCAGCAGTGAAGGACCACGTCTCTGATCCGTAAGTCATCACTGGCAACACGCACTGGTTGTACACTTTAGTTTTCAGAGATTGAGGTATACCTGACGAGAAGATATGTCGTAATTTCCCGAACGCTGCCCAGCCGAGTTGAATCCGTCGATTGACCTCTCGGTCGAAGTTGGACTTACCTAGTCGGAATATTTGTCCCCGGTAAACGTACTCGTCAACAACTTCGAGCATAGTGCTTCCAACAACTACCGGCATAGGTGTGACATGGACATTAAACATAATCTTTGTTTTGTCCATGTTCATCTTAAGACCTATCCGTTGGGAGGCACTATTGAGGTCATTGAGCATAGTGCTTAAGTCCTCCAGCGATTCTGCCATAAGGACTATATCGTCGGCAAATCGAAGGTGAGTGATGTACTCGCCATTGATGTTAATACCGTATCCTTTCCAGTCCAGTAGCTTGAAAACGTCTTCCAAAGCAGCGGTGAAGAGTTTCGGGGATATAACGTCACCCTGTCTTACACCTCTCTGCAGTTGGATAGGTTTCGAGCTCTGGTTCTGTACTCGGATAGCCATCGTAGCCCTACTGTACAAACACTTCAGCACTTCGATATACCGACAGTCAACTTGGCACCGCTGAAGGGACTGCAGCACCGCCCAAATTTCGACGGAATCAAAGGCTTTCTCATAGTCCACATACGCCAGGCAAAGTGGCAAATTGTACTCCTCAGTCTTCTGTACAATCTGCCGCAGGGTATGTATGTGGTCTATGGTACTGAAGCCTTTTCGGAAACCGGCTTGTTCGGGAGGCTGCAAGTCGTCGAGTCTGCGTGCGAGACGATTCGTAATGACTCTCGAAAACAGCACGTAGACGCGGCTCAGAAGGGAAATCGGTCTGTAGTTCTTCAAGAGAGCGTTGTCGCCTTTCTTAAAGAACAAGACCACCGCACTTCTGCTCCACGCCTCTGGAGTAGTGCCACCATGGAGGACGGAATTGAAGAGCTTCTGAAGGACTTCAAGTACCGGTGTTCCACCCGCTTTCAGAAGCTCCGCTGTAATTCCATCCTCGCCTGGGGCCCTGCCGTTTTTAAGGTGCTGGAGAGCCAATCTAATCTCGCTTAGACTGACGTCCGGGATATCATCGGAATAGTGTCGGATAAGACTTGCTCTTGGATCGTTACTCACACTTGCGTGTGGCTCCAACGATGATGTGTACAGCTGCCCATAGAACCTCTCAATCTCACTCAAAATCTCAGGTGTCCCGGAAACGATGCTGCCACACTCAGTCTTCAGCCTTGACAGTTGGCTCTTTCTGGCAGACAGATCTCTGGCAAAGACTTTGGAGCCCTGGTTCCGCTCGATCGCTTCTTTAATACGAGCAGTATTAAAGTTTTCAGTCGCACGCGGAACGGCAAAGCGCGTACATGTGTTCGCTTTGAGCGTAAGCGAAAGGTCATTGTACGATAAGACAATGGCGTCCAAAGTGGTAAAATGTACAAATTGTAATATTGTGATAAGCGAAGTGCTTGCCTTTATACAAAACAAGGCAGATGTGATGGACGAGGAGAGCATTGTCCGAATTTGTAGTAGTGCCTTTACAGCTGAAGATATTACTAATGCAAAAAGTTTGCTTTTCGAGTCATTGCCCTCAGGTAAAAGAAAAAATATAAGACGTAGAGATGGAAAATTAACTCGGCGTACAGATGGGAAATCCCAAAGGGAGTTAGAAGACATCATTAGTCTTTTCAAAGAAACAGACCCTGATAGTGCACCCATTTTTGTTGCTCGTGACCTACAAAAAACTTCCGCCGGTCACTTTCGATCATGTAGATGTAACTCGACTGCTGAAGGATATAGTTCTGTTGCAACAGGAGGTTAAGATCATCAAGGATAATTATGTAACCAAGACGCACCTAGAAGAGCTAAAGAAAGATAAATCTTTCTTAAAAACATCCACATCACCAGCTCATCATCATAAGGTAGGTAGAAGGTGCAGTGCATTCTTGTTGGATGTGGGTACTACGTTCGGCGACAGTGGGCCGATGGGCTTGTCGCACGAGTTATCAACAGCTGATGTACCGTTACAAACAACTGACGTACAGACAGAGACGGAAAAGATAGCTATCGCACAAGTAGCTAGTCGTGCTCGTGATAGTGTCGATGCACTCGCACCTGTGTCAGATATGCATAAGGCTGACCTCTTTACATCTGGAGGCGTGACTGCTTATAACGGTGCGGATGGGCGGCAATCATTCAGCGCAGGAGGCGCTAAAACAACTCCAATTCCAATGCAGAACTCACCGAGTAAAAGCAGGATGAATGATGACAAAACAATTGTAGTGAATAAGTTCTCTAACAATAATAACGCAATAAAAGATACATCTTGTGATGGTAATTTTCAGTCTTCGCTAACTATGGCCGAAATATTGAAAAAAGGTGAAGCTTGGAAAAATGAAGAACCGCCAGAGGCCTGGATAAAAGTTCAAAAGCGCAGATTGCGTAACCGTTTTATAGGTAAGACAGGAAAAGCAGAAATAAAACCTGAGGAGAAATTTAAATCAGCGGACTTGAAAATTCCGCTATTTATATCTAACGTACATAGAGAGACGCTAGAAAAAGATATCGTTGATTATATTAGGAATAAAACTAACGAGTTAGTGACACTAGAAAAAGTGACTATGAAAAAAGATAAAGGATATAATGCGTTCAAATTATACGTGTCCAAACAAAAACTTGCTGTCTTTTTAAATGACAGTCTTTGGCCGGACGGCATCTCATTCAGAAGATTTGTGCCTTTTAAGTACAGACATCAGGAGACCTCAGATAATGTGTAAAAAAAAAAAAAAAAAATCGTTCATGTATAGTACGGCAAAATTTACTACTTTTAACTGCAAATCTGTTAAACGCTCTTTGGAATGCGTAAGACACCTGTGTGAAAAGTCTGACGTGCTAGCGCTACAGGAGACATGGCTTCTACCTGATGACATAACGTTTCTGGGCGAGATACATCAAGACTTCAGCTATACCGGTAAGTCAGCGGTTGATACGTCGTCCGGTATACTCACAGGCAGACCCTATGGTGGTGTGGCCCTCTTGTGGAGGAAAAATGCGTTTGATTGTGTCAGTGTGGTCGAATGTAGTAGTGTGCGTCTCACAGCAATTAAAGTGTTCCATAGTGAACGAACTTACATAATATTCTCGGTTTATATGCCAACGGATTCAGTAGACAATTTAATAGAATTTACATCGTGCATGAGCGAGATAAGTGCTATTATTGAAAATGAAAATGTCGACTCTGTATTTGCGTTAGGTGACTTTAATTCTCATCCCGGTACATTATTTTGTAACGAAATGATAAATTTTTGCACGGATCAGCAGTTGATTTGTGTTGATTTGGAGGTCCTCCCAGCGGGCAGCTATACTTACACTAGTGATGCGCACGGTTGTCGGCGCTGGTTGGATCATTGCGTTGTAACTGAGGCCGCAAGGCGCTCAGTCATAGATGTCACTGTGCTGTATGATACCTACTGGTCGGATCATGTTCCATTGCTGATCGAGTGCAATATTAACTTATTGAGATCAAAAAATATGGTAAGCTATTTCTGTAATAATAAAATAATTTGGGGTGTCAGAAATAATAATCAAATAGAAACTTATAAAAAATTGTGTCACTCTAAATTAAAAGACGTAAATTTTCCACAGGAGTTTATGAATTGTTGTAATAATATATGTATTAATGATAATCACAAATTAATTTTAGATAACATGTACGGTAATATTGTTACTATTCTTAGAGAATCAGCTCAGGCAAGTTGTAATAACAAAAGGAATAAGAAATATGTTGTGGGGTGGAATAAATACGTTAGAGACGCCCACGGGGGAGGCTCGACTTGCCTTTCAAACGTGGGTCTTATACGGTAAGCCATCTTCGGGTTATTATTATAATAAAATGTGTGAAACAAGACGGAATTTCAAGTCAAAGTTAAAATGGTGTCAAAATCACGCAGAGCAATTAAGAATGGATAAGATCGCATCAAGTCATTCGCAAAAGAAATTTAAAGAATTCTGGAATCTTACGAATAAACTGAATCCCAAGTCGAGCCTTCCCGCTAATATTCAGGGTCACAACCAGCCTGGAGACATAGCCAATCTATTTAAAGAGCATTTTAAAGTAGAGTCACCGCGGGGTCCGTCATCGAGTTTAATCGATGGTGGACGTTTTGCAGGTAGATCGTGTGTAAGGATCTCTGCCAAAGAAGTTTTTGAAGTAATTAATTCTGTGACTAGAGGTAAGTCACCAGGGCATGATGGGCTTAGCATTGAACATCTGGTACATGCTGGTGCCCATCTGCCAAGAGTGTTGGCTATGTTTCTAAGTTTATGTATAGCTCATCAATATCTTCCGACTGATCTCATGAAGACAATTGTGGTGCCTATCATTAAGAACAGAACAGGAGATATATCAGATTTAAATAATTACAGGCCAATCTCACTAGCCACCATAGTGGCTAAGGTGCTGGACGGTCTGCTTGACAGGAAATTGAGAAAACACATTCATCTGCATGATGCTCAATTTGGGTTCAGACCTGGACTATCCACAGAGAGTGCAATTTTATGTCTTAAGCAGACTGTTCGGTACTACACAGATAGGAAAACGCCGGTGTATGCCTGTTTTTTGGATCTATCAAAAGCTTTTGATCTAGTCTCTTATGACATTTTATGGCGAAAGTTACAGGAGGAGACTGACTTGCCCCAGGAAATTGTCTCCGTATTTAAATATTGGTATAGTAACCAAATAAACTATGTGCGATGGGGTAGCAGCTTTTCTGAGGGGTATGGGCTGGAATGCGGGGTGAGACAAGGAGGGTTGAGTTCGCCTACGCTTTTCAGCTTATACATAAACCAGTTGATTGTGGAGCTCAGCAGCACTAAGGTCGGTTGTTCTATAGACGGAGTTTGCATAAATAACATAAGCTATGCAGATGACATGGTACTGCTGAGCCCCACGATAGGTGCACTCAGAAGGCTGCTAGGGATCTGTGAATCCTACGCAAAGACCCATGGGCTCAAGTATAATGTAACGAAGAGCGAGCTCATGGTTTTTAATTCAGGCACTAAAAGGCAGCTCACCATGCCTACTGTTAAACTCTGTGATAGTCCTTTGAACAGAGTCGTCAAATTTAAGTACTTAGGCCACTGGGTAACAGAGGACTTAGAGGATGACTTGGATATAGAAAGGGAACGCAGGGCGTTGGCTGTTCGCTGTAATATGCTGGCCCGCAGGTTTGCACGATGTACTAAAGAAGTTAAAGTTACGCTTTTTAAAGCTTATTGTCAGTGCTTTTACACAGGCAACTTGTGGGTCAGATACAAGCAGCGGACATACAATGTCCTGCGTGTACAATACAATAATGCGTTCAGGGTGCTGTTAGGATTGCCGCGTTATTGTAGTGCCTCTGCCATGTTCGTCGAGGCACACACGGATGGCTTTCATGCCATAATACGTAAAAGGTCCGCTTCATTAATGAATCGACTACGTACCTCTACCAACAGCATCCTGAATACACTTGCTGATAGGTGGGATTCTGCCATTATGAAACACTGGTTGAGCCTACATATAAAATTTAATAAATAAGATATTTTTAACGTAGAAGGATATTTAATTTTTTAAGTGTAAAAAAAAAAAAAAAAAAAAAGTTAAATACTAACATTAGTTTTTAAGTACTTATTGTTCTACTAACATCTTTATGGACAAAGTCTGAAAATAAAGTATTATTATTATTATTATTATTTAGGGGTGATAATGCATCGGTATTTAGATTCTTAATCGAGGATGGATGTAGATGTCTATGAGCCACAGCATCTACTTACCATCAGGTGGACTGTGTGCCTTGTCACCATTATTCTATAATAAACAAAATTTTGTAAAATTTTGTAAAGTTGCGTAAGTCTCGCCGCATGCATTTGGAGATCTGTCTGTTCAGTTGCCTGTATGCTGTCAAATCTGTTGACGATTGCAGCCTCATCTCCCGTCTAACAGCCATGAGATTAAGAGTGTGATCGGAGAGTTTTTGTGTTCTTCTGCGGCGGGTCTTGCAGAACTTAGCTCCGACCGCATGGACAGTTTCCACGAGCTTGTCATTCATATCGTCCACTGCATTGCAATCTTGTAGGCACTGAAAGCGGTTGTGTAACTCGAGCTGAAAGTTTTCGGGATTTTGGATCAGAGCACGAGGGGGACGGAGCGTTGACTTCATTAGACGAGACCTCTCCAACTTAACGTTTAGGTTCAGTGTGCCTCTAACCATTCGGTGATCGCTGCCAGTTTTCACCCTTGCGATCACTGAGACATCACTGAACAGTTGGCGTCTGGTCGTCATAATGAAGTCAATCTCGTTTTTTGTCGAACCGTCGGGGCTCGACCAGGTCCACTTCCTGTGGGGCCGCTTCTGGAAGAAAGAGTTCATCATAAAGAGTCCCTCTTTCTCCATAAAGTCAGCCAGCTGCTGGCCCCTTCGGTTCCGTTGCCCTACTCCAAATTTCCCTAACTTCAGCTCACCGTTTTCTCTTGTGCCTAGTTTTGCGTTGAAGTCTCCCATCAACACAGTGTAGTGGGTTTTGGAGGAATGTATGGCTTTGGAAATATCCTCATACATTTCCTCCACCTCCTCATCGGAATGTGCCGACGTTGGTGCGTAAACCTGTATGACCTTCAGCGAATACCGTTTGGTGATTCTGAGTATCAGGTACGCGACCCTCGTCGACACACTCTCAATCTGTACAACGTTGTTGACGAGAGACTTGTGGACGATAAATCCGACACCTCCTTGGGACAGATGGTCGCCCTCCCGGTGATAGAACAAGTTGCCGGATTCGAGAATCACCGTGTCCTCCCCCTCTCTTCGGACCTCGGATAATCCTATAATACTCCAGCGCAACTTGTCTATCTCTTCTTCCAGCTCCAGGATCTTCTCGTCAGTCCTCAGTGTGCGTGCGTTAAATGTTGCCAGGTCGAGTCGTCGTAGGTGGCAACCGAACCTCCACCGGAGATTCTTAGCACCCCCTGCCCCGCCGTTACCATGGTCGCCACCGTAGCCAGGAATAGCGGGGCCGCCGGGGACTGGGGGCCGTCTATTTGTGTAATTGTTCATGGGGGGTATATTGCCATAGTTGCCACGCTTGGCGAGCGGGTTGGCAACCGCAGTTTTTTTTTGTCGTACAGTTGCTGTTATCAGGAAGATGCTGCTGCCCATCTCCTGCCTGTCTCCCTCTGTCGCCTCTTACGACACCCACGGGAAGATATGGGGTAGTGGATATTCTTAACCGCCACTACACGGCATTGCACAAGATGCACACGCATCAGCTTTTTTAGCTGCTAGTGTGTTTATCCATATTAATATCCATACTTACTAATATTATAAATGCGAAAGTGTGTTTGTTTGTTTGTTTGTTTGTCTTTCTTTAACAGCGAACAGAGCGTCGGCATGGCATGATTTTTTATATGGGGATAGTTCGGTGGCTGTAGAGTGACATAGGCTACTTTTTTCAGCGGAAAAACATCATTCCCGTGGGAAAATCGAATATGTTGCAAAATTAAATTTAGCTAGGTGGCGCCACCGTGATTCTACAAGACGGACGACGGTACGATGGACGAACACAGAAGGTCAGAATATCTGGATTATTTTGTATTTTTACCAAAATTAAGATAAAAAATGTATCGATCTGTATTTTTCCACGCAGGACCGGAAAGAGAGCGATAAAAAACATAAAATTCACCATCTGATTTTCTCCAAACGTTTTGGTGCATTGTAAATCACAGAATAGGCGATAACCTCGCAGACGATATTAAGTAATCCGTTGATGCTCTCCCTAACCCGCAAGGGTTACAGGCGTGATTATAGTTCTTATTAACTAAGTATGGATCAGAAATACTATCACCATCTGTCACGCTTTCACCCTTAACTATTACTTAACTGTGGTAGAAACAGTTCTTAGTAAGCCTTATTAATAAGCCTTAGTAATATTTATTGAACGGAAATGAATACAGTTCTTATCTGTGGTTATGAATGAATCGGAGTTACAATAAGAAAAATTGTGCAAAATTATAAGAAAAATATTTTTGAGAGTTCTTATTAACTAACGTATACATAGTTTAAATTGATTCTGCTAGATGTCGTTACTAGGTTTTTAAAACGCGGTAACGAAATGTTTCCTGACATGTACTTAACTCCCGCCGTTGAGCCGCGCGTCAACTTATAGTGCATACGGTACCTATACGCTTAAATTATTTCTATTTTGTAGCTTATTCGACTACCTGCTTTCGATTTCGGTTTTTTGTTATTTGCTTTGTGATTTGGTTAAGGTTGAATGGATTTATATTGGCTTTCATTTTCGGATTTGTGTATTTTCTTGGATCAGTTTTGTTGATTTGGTTGGTATTCCTTTATACATATTTAGACTTTGATTTTGGATTTTGTTTATTTAGAATCGTGAATTGGTTTTCGTTGTTTTAGGTTGTTTAACAATATTTCAAAGGAATATTAATAGTATAGATAGTGTATACGGTACCTATACACTTACATCGTTTTTCGTTGGTTATATTTATATTGACTACTGGTTTCCATTTCGGTTTTCTGCGATTTGTTTTGTGATTTGGTTTAAGTTGATTCAATTTTTTTTGGCTATCGTTTTCGGATTCGTGTTGTGTCTTGAATTGGTTTTG